ATTAAATCTTGCTAAAAATCGGGGGAGGATGTGTTCAAAACAAGAAAAATACTTTTATATAGTTCCGCGGCAGAAACGCTGAGAAAAATGGTAGCGGATGGATATTTAGCCTTCAGAGGCTAGTTATGCATCATAAGACACAGGTTTGTGCTGAATAGCGCCACCTGTGTTGACACAATGGGAAATGAGCCGAACCGCGCTCCGCCTATTATTAAAACCAAGTGACGTCATTCGCTGGCATGCATAATTAAAATCGAGGGAAACTATGCAGAAGTGAACAGTCCTTAGGCCTAAAGCCTTTGCTGATTTGGCCAGAGGACCGCCAGTCCGACACAGATTAGACTGGTTTTATGTTATCTAAGACCTTGTTATGTATGTACGTGGTTTCCCTCTTGGTTGCCATGTTTTGTATTCCTAAACAAATCCATCAGTATTCGAATCAGTGAGTTGAATTATTTGCACATAATATAAAGTATTTTTTGTGTCATGGGTGAGACTCGTGACTGTACACATCTTATAAACTGTTTTCTCAGCTCTAAATTACAAAAAAAGTAAGCAGTGCTGGATTGTTTTCGTGGTTTCAGTATTGGCAGTGTAAGCTTTGGCAGCCAAGTCACGTGACTGTTTACATCGGTTTGTATTTATCTGTTAGTCAATCTCTAAATCCTACAACTGAAAAAATAAGTAAGACAATAGTGTATGACCTGCATGACAACCCAACTGATTGATACACTGATACCACGAAATGGAAATCAAAAATATTAATGACTCACAGTTTATTGTCAATGAAAATATAGTAATGCATATACTTACATGTTAATATTATATATAATAATAATATATATAATACGTCCTTCGATATACATGTTCGTCAATTTTATGAAATGCTTTGTAAAGCAACAAATCACGAAAATAACAATTAAATTTCTTTGTGGTTGATCGCCATTATCTTTAGTACAAACTTATCTTGTTATCACAAATAATTTATGGTTATTTCTACCCCAAGCAAAACCTAATATTTTACGTATATTAAATGTCTAATTCTGCTGGGAAAATGGCATTACTTGAAGCATTAAAGGTACAGTGTTTCACCAGGGAAAATCATAATATATCGTACACCAAACAAACTCACATTTTTCATTATTTCTAGCCAATGGAAATGTGTTTAGTTGTCGATAATTTTAACCTGCTCCTTGATTTGAGAACGATTTTATTGTTATTTGATCAACGTATATTATGAAGAACACTGAATGGTCAGTGCACCGATATTTGATACCACTGGAATATGCAAAGCAGACAATGGCATTTGGCAGTGTATAGCACATAATTTTCTTGTATTCTTACTATTCGACTCTTCCATTTCAATATTGTTCACATAAAATTCAATTTTAAAATTATACCATAGTACAACAAATTATTTGATTAGTTTTCATAATTCTCCCTACATACAATAACTGTTCAAATAATATTATTGGATGTCACCATATTTCAATTAGAGCGGGGGGTCGTCCCAAGCAATGATAACAACACACGCTAAATCGCAAAGGATCATGGGTAGACGCATGTTTGTAAACAATTACACTCCATGTCCACCTGACGCACGTTTTAACTACTATATGAATAAATACAACAGAAACTCCACGGTGAACTAACAAGTGCTTCAATATTTCACAATCATTGAAATCAAAACAAGTTGCAAATTCATACTAATTTATAGGTTTGGATTAATGTCATGGATATCTTGGTGGCCATCTCTCAGGTTTCTGTATTATGGTTTCCGGCAGCACCTAGAGATTACACAATCTCCTGTAATACTAAAGTTGTCATCAAGTACAAGTTCGATTACACTTATAATCTAGGGGTTTCTTGTTTTCAAAACACGCACTGTTGATCTCCGAAGCCTCGCACACATAATCTTCACCATTGATTGAGTTGACTATTTCCAACAGCAACAACAACATCTGAGAAAACCAACGCACGTTTCAGTCATGTGTGCACACACAAATAATCTTGCATAAACTGATAAATGATCACACTTTTAAATGATCAACAACCAATACATATATAGTCTGAAGACAACAAATCCCATCAACTCATCCAACATACAGACAGACAGACTGACAGACA